AAAAAAAAAAACAAAAAAAAAAAAAAAACAAACAAACAAACAGAATGACACACAGAACAAACAAGCAAGATCAGGGGCACTAGGGATTGGGAGAAAAGACATGCTCACTGCGCAGAACGGCCAATTCTTTTCCATCATCGAGAAGAAAGTACAACAACGGCTGCCTCTTCTTCACTGCGCTGCAAGAGCGCAGATCGCAGCAAAAACTCTGAGGCTTTGGACCCAGAAAAGCTTGGAAGACATGTACCTACCCTGACTGATGAAAAGGGAGGAGTGTATGCAATCATTGAAATGTGGCCATGCCATTGAAGAAGAAGAATTGGCCCCATGAACTCTGAATGACGGAGGATCTGGTTGAAAGGCTACAGGCCTGAACAGGAGGATATATCATTTCTGAGAAATTACAAGTGCCTCCAGTCCGCGAAAAAGGACGCACTTTCAAAACTTTGTTTCGACCAATTGTGAGCACATCTTCGTTCCTCAAGAGAGCGTCACATCTCCTCGTAATCGCAGCCTGTATCTTTCCAGTTTGTCTTCAATTATTCTTATCTCCTCTAATCTGTCCTGAAACAGCTCTTCAAGAGCTTTCATCTGCTCTACATCCTTTTCCTCCTGGGTCTGCCCACTTCCATCTTCATTCACTGCATCTGAACTTCTGTCCTTCTGAGAAGATGAGCTCGATCCTGCACCTCCTTTATGTGCTCCCTTTTTCGCTGATCCTCCCCCTGCAATTTTAGAGCACAGAAGCCAAGACGTCTCAGTACAGCTACATAGTACAAACATAGAAATGTGTCAGACAATCTGGCATAAGCAAATTTGCAACTGTAAGGAGTGTGCACTCTCTTCCCCCTCCCTCCCCCCCCCCCCCCCCCCCCCCCTTTCTTTTGGGGTTTTCATAGTGTACTTCAGTGTAGTCACACTGACGGTCAGTGCCCCTCTATTGGTCGGCAACTGTGGCATACTGCGTAGCCACACGGGCCCTGTAGGACCCGTCCCGGACATTCAGCCTAAAAGCCTAAAACTTAGGATCTACAGGCCCCGGTC